CTTACTTGTCGTCAACACCGCATCCACTCGCAGGCGTCTCTGTGCACAGTGGGAAGGCTCAACCTTCACTACAACCCTGCCAAAGACACAAATGCCGTTCATGTCTACCCAAATAAAAGGCAACTTCTACTTCAGGTATTTTTTCCCACAAACCTGCTTGGCTTCCTCTCCTCCCTGGAGCATCAGCTCGCGATTCGCAAAGATCAGGCCATTGTCACAGAGAGCAGATGCTGCTGGCACAGCGCCGCACTGCCGGGCAAAGCACTCGCATCACAGACACGCTCGGGGGAGGGAGGTGAGACCAGTGACTGCACGCGGGAGCGACAGAACACATACCGACCGAGGACAGCATGACCACCCGCGGAGAAGTCACGCTGAGTCAGGAAGACAGAACTGCATTAAGACCCTAAACTATACATACAAAAAACAAACCAGCACGCAGGAAACAGTGTGTGGAGTGTCTACAGCATCTCAGACCTGAATGAAGAGAAGAATCACCAGTACGAAGGATATCCTTTGTGTCACGAAGGAGATGACCTCTCCACCCACGTAAACTAGCGTGTGCCCCATTTCCCATGCTATGCAAATCCGTAATTCAAGTCCACACGCCAAGAAACTAACCCGTGCACAGTCTGGGCCACACTGCGGGGCCCGGGGGCCGGCCAACAACCCCCGGACCGTGAAGGAGCCAGGAAGGTGGCCGGTGAGAGCCGGGAGAGGCGGGGACAACCTAGGAGTGGTCGGACTAAGCTCACGAAAACTCGGGCTGAATGTGAGAAAGAAGTCATGAGATGACATTTTATTATAAAAATGTCCTCCGTGCAGAAATACCACTATTTAAATAACTTAAAGATACTGAATTTCATACAAATGTTATGAACTACATGTCTGTACTGTCTGTTCAACAAACAGCTATTTCAATGAGATGAAAGATGGCTTCCATTCTCAGGCTCTCTCAAAACTCACTCAGTTGTTTTTGAAATCAGAACCTGCCACCCTGGCTGGCGCGGCTCAGGGGACTGAGCGCGGGCTGCGAACCAAAGGGCCATCAGTTGGACCCCCAGTCAGGGCACGTGCCTGGGTCGCCGGCCAGGTCCCCCAGCAGGGGGTGCGTGACAGACAACCACATATTGATGTTTCTTCTCTCTCTCCTTTTCCCTCCCCCCTCTCTAAAAACAAATAAAATCTTTAAAAATAAAATAAAATTAAAATCTAGTAACAAAATAAAGGTTGGAGTTATCCTTATCACAAAACTACTCTGACTGTATCATCCCGAGTAAGACTTCTTGAGCAGTGTCAAAGCAAAAATGCTAAACATCATCTTCAAGAAAACTCTTAACATCCACCTTTTCAAAACCTCTACCATTGCTTAAAGTGCTTACTGAAAAATACTAGAAATAAAGTTTCACAGCTAAAATATTTCCATGGTTGTCTAAAACACTATAATAAAAAGACAGAAAATCTTTATCTACAATTCTTATTTTACTTTCTTCTTACGAAGTATACGTTAACAAAAAAAAACCTCAAATGATACAGACAAAAGCTTTTAGCTCAACACATAATTGCAAGAAAAATTACAATAATTGTACCAATTAAAATAATCCTGAATGAGCAGGACATCATCTTAATGCTCCAATGGTTCATAGGGATCTACCACATTAGCTGAAGTTGCTTCCCAGGGTCAGTACCAAACGCCACGTGTTAAAGCCGGACAACCCAGGAGATAATCTGACGGGGCGGTTTCGCCGAACGCCGAGAGCCAGCGTTTCCTTCCCGGCCGAGCGGGGCAGGCAGGCGCGCCACACACCGCCATGAAGACAGGTGAGGCTTTTTGCGGATGGAAAAAACTTACTGCCAACGTCAAAAATATTATTTTCTGACTGTTTTTACCGAATCAGATTTAATAAAATAAATGGATATCAATTACATACTGCTGCTCTTGTCTGCTATAAGTAACTTTTTATTATTCAAGTGACAAACAACAGCATCGAAGAACTCAACCACAGTCCGTAGAAGCGGTCACTGATGATGTTTTAACACATTCCAATACTCGATCTTTCAATATGTTGATCCAATTGTCTTCTCACAGTTTTTCGTTTAAATCATCTTAAATTTAGTTATTTTGAGTCAATTTCTTCATGAACGCTCAACGGTTCTCACTACACTGTCTTTCTCTTTTCCTGCGAGTATCCACAGCACGTTCTCTGTGAGCGTCTGTAGGCATGCAAGACATGCTCATTTATTAAAAAAAAAACAAAAAACCATCTCACAATCACCCGGAATACAGCCCACTCAGAGACAGCAGGCCCACCAAGGGCTGAAGTCTACAATGATCATTAATTAATTAGGATTAATTAAATAGCAAAACAAAGTCATCTTCTCGTACATATACCTTCAATATATAATAATCTATGTTTACTTGAGCGAAATACTCCCCCTACAAAAATTTAAGTTATTTTCTTATGTTTAAATCTTTTATTAAATTTATTGGCTTCTTTAAAAAGAGGCAAGATTTCAGAAAGACATACTATACTCAAACGATAATTTCTAAAACGAGATCAAATTAGTCCTCATTCTCTTTGTATCTGTCTTCCTGTCGTTATCCCAGAAAAAAACTTAACAGAGCCCTGACAGGTGTGGCTCAGCGGGTCGGGCGTTGTCCTGCAAACTGAAAGGTCACCAGTTCAGTGCTCGGTCAGGGCCCATTCCTGGGTTGCAGGTTCGGTCCCCAGCCGGCGCGGCGGTGTGTGAGAGGCAACTGGAAGGTGTCTCTCTCTCTCTCACACCGATGTCCCTCCTCCTGCCATCCCTGCTACCCCCGCCTCACGGACTGGCTGGGCACAGGGGGTTTAAACGGAAAGTGCTCACAGAGTCGGATGGAAGGCGCTCAGCTACGTGAGAGCTGGTGACCTTGCGAACTCCCGAACTCTCCGAACCACACACGTCCTTGCTGACAACGCGGCGGCGGCCCCACCCCGAGCACGTCTCTGAGCCTGCAGAGACCCACGGGACTCCTCAGGCACGGAGCGGGCGCCTGGCGCCGAGGGGGGCCGGCTGGGGCACACGCGCTGCAAGGAGCTGCTCCCGACGCAAGCAGCCCCTCCCTCCCCCGCCACCCGCGACGGACAGCCAGCTCTCCTGCCCACCTGCCAGCGCCCTGGGACCGAGTGCGTGCCGCTCAGAGCAACGCCGAGCGGGCTGGGCAACATGGAACCCGAGAACCAGGTCACAGTTCCTCGTGGAGGCTTACCCTTGTTCTCTGGTACGTTTGTATTTGCACAAAGACCACCAGTGTCTCAGGGGCAGAGAAGGGTGCCAAGGACTACCTGTCCGTGCTAACCAGGGCTCTGTGTAAAAATAACCATACGAAAGGTAGATCCCACTCGACGGATGTGAATTATTGTTAAGTTGAAACTTTAGAAGTTGTTTTAACTGTGTTATAAATCCTGCGCTCATCTAGCAAACGTTCATAATTACACAGTATCTGTGTTGTGATGCACATGTGTGTTCGGGAAACATGCCAATCACACATCTCATAGGATTTCTGCCCCATCAAAGGGCAGACACAGCGCTGGAGGCCCTGTGGCAATTGCGCGTCGCTGCCCCCTACTGGACACCCGCCCAGGGCTCACACAACTGATTGGGCTCAGCATAAATAACACAGAAAACCACAATGCTCAAATCTGTGGACTAATCCCACAACCATCCCCTACAATTCCAGAACTAGTTATCCACGAAAAAATATTAAATAGATCATGTACATGAAAAATGGGGATTGGAAAGTATGGAAAACCATATGCTGACAATATTCTAAGAAAAGAAAAATTTGAAATCTTTTTTTCAGTGCTATGTGTGCAGTACAGACGAGATTTACTGACGCGACTGAGAGAGAGGCTCTGCGGCCAGTGCGGAGGGAAGTTAGGGGCGCTGTGGGGGGGGGGGGAGTGGTGTGGAATCTTTTTCAGTATGTGAACTATAAATTAAATGCTTTGTTAGGGTTAACATTTCATTTATAGGTACAAAACAACAGTTTCAATCTTACCGAGTTCTATAAAATTATATAGTTCCCTTGTATTATATTTTTTTCTAAGAGATGGTTTATTCAGAGTGGCAGTTGAAAACTTTGAAGGTATTAAGTGTTCTGGTGAACAGAAAGGATCATAACTTTAGTTCTGATATTTTATATTCCTGGCATTTCCCTGAGCCTTAACTGCACATCTTTCAAAAATGTAATCAATTTCTTTATCAAAAGTAGAAATTTTAAAAGTATTTCAAATGTCTGAATATAAAAGAACAATGCATTCCTTTATTATTTTAATTCAAAGAATGTTTTCCAATCAGTATTCAGTTCCTAAAACCCTTCAGATATAAAACTGAGAAAATACTTGTACTAATGACTTAGAAAATATAACTGCCTTAAAAGACATTTAGAATAAAAAATATGATGGAAACAAACAATGGTGTTTTAAGCATTGCACCTTTATATATAAATTCATAAAGCCAATAGGACTATTAAAAATTTTATGATACAGCTTACAATGAAAAGGGACAAATATATCCAAATAAAGCTATAAATTTTATTTTCTTAATTTTATTAATTTATCTTCAGGAAAAGAGGAAAGGAGGGAAATAGAGAGGGGAACATCCGACGTGTGAGAGAAACATCTATCGGCTGCCTCTTGCATTCCCCTACTGGGAGCCTGGCCCACAACTCAGGCATGTGCCCTGACTCGGAATCGAACCGGCGACCTTTCAGTCTGCAGGCCAGTGCTCAATCCACTGAGCCACACCAGCCAGGACAGAGCTATAAATTTTATAAGATGCAATACGTACTTGGGCTAATACAACTCCAAATGGAATTAGTGAGAGACATTAGTTGAATTTGGAAGTGTCCATTTTATACATAACATTTTGTATTCATTTTGCTTTAAATGCATTAACTTCCTTCTGAAAAGTGAACTCGATCTAAGACAAAGTTAAATGTGAAGAGGTTGAAGTACCTTTCATAGATGGCTTTTAAGGTCATCTGATCTGGGACACCTTCAGTCTCTTCCAAGTACAGGATGAGCCACGAGGTGCGGTACGGCCACTGCTCGGTCAGGTTGATCCAGCTCGCAAGCCTGTCCCAGTTGAAGCTGATCTGATTGGCTCGCAGTAACCGCCCTGGAAGAGGCACAGGAACATCGTGAAGTTAACATTGTGAAGTTAGCGGATGTGTGCTGCTGTGCTGCTAAGCAGAACACTTGGCATATCCACGGAGAATTTAACTTTGAATCCTTGCGACCCGCCACCTCAGTCACACAGCACACGCGGACCTACTATGCCACAGCTCCTACGACCCACAAGCTCTGCTGGAAGCTTCTGGGGCTCGCCCCAGCCCTGGCCACTTCTAACGTCACCTTTTATGTGATGTCCCATGGGGGCTGTGTCAATCACATGGCTCTGACCGCGCACACGCAGCGCGGTGTCCGGCGGCCGTGTCGCGGCCCACGGCCACACAGCGGGGCACCGGTGCACCCGGGACAGGGCGGCCCAGAGCTGCCGGTCCCTCCTGTTTCACCACGCGTAAGCGTGTGACCCCACACGTCCACTTGCAGGTGGGCCACGCCGTGTCTGTAAATTCGTTTACACAGCTCCCCGAAGTCTGGCCCATCCCTGGGGTTTTCTGGGCCCCACGGCAGCGCCCTGACAGGGGTGAGCTCTTGTGGGGACAGCTGCAATCCCCACACTCTCAGGGCTGCCGCCTGCTTCCTGCCTCTTCACGTTATCCTCGGGTCAGCCAGGGTACCGGACGGCAGAAGTCACTGCTTTCTCATTCTACAGGCTGTCAGCTGTACCGGGGGCCGCCAGTCGGTTTGCGTGTGCACTGAGACCTGGCTGCTCCGGCTCACCCACGAATGATTAGCCCTCTCCCGACTGCTGGTGGACATGCTCCCCCACCCAGGTCTTCGTGCGTCCCGGGCCCGCACCCCGCAGCCCCCTGCTTTTTCACGCACGCTTCCCCCTTGGAGGCGTCTGGCCTGCTGGATCAGCGGCAGGGTCTTGACCTTGTACCCAAGTCAGCCCGAGACGGAAGAAAGGGTTTTTTAAATCCTCAAGTTCTAAAACAACAGAGCACAACTGACGGCTGATTTTTGCCGTCAAAGCGGACGCCGGCTTTACGAGACGCACTCGGTGCAGATGAAGCCGGAGGCCAGCCGTGGCGACACGCGAGCGCATGCACACGCCTCGGACACTGAACTGCATGGTGGGCGTCAGAGCCCTTCCCCCGTCCGGGAAGGCGGCAAGGAACAGTCACCTGTCACAGAGACGATGTTGAGCAGCCTCCTCATGGTCTGCGGGCTGATGTCGCTGAACCAGTCCTCCGTCACCAGCAGCTTGGTCAGGTCAAAGGACATCTGCCGGGTGACGGTGCGCTGCATCTGCCGCCGGCGGTAGGTGTCCTGAAACGGGCGCCGTCGGGGGGTGAGCCGCGTGTGCTCGCGGCCGGACCACGAAGCCTCAGTCCTCGGTCGGAGAGGGAGAGGCTGCAGACTGAGTGGACGCACCCCCCGCCCCCCGCCCCCGCCGTCCCCGAGGGCGGGGCCGCCCGGCAGCCTGGGCGCAGCTGGGCTCTGGCCTGGGCGCAGCTCGGCCGCAGCTCGACTCGCAGCTGCAGAGCCAGAGAAGGCGCAGCCCCTTGAAGATGGGAAGTAGGCAGAATTCTAGAAAGAGCATTCAATTCAAACTCTCGTAGGAGCTCAGGATTTATAGGAACCCTGCAATAATAAAGCAAATAGCTCCTTGCTTAGTTTCCAGGACTCAGTGTTCTTATTTTTATTTTTTAATGTGTGACAACTACCTGAAAAGCACGGCTGCTGTCCCCATCCTCACCTCTGCTGTCCCCATCCTCACCTCTGCACTAAATGCACCCCGTTAAAGGGATGACGTCAATGAAAGGCACCTGACGGGGGCGGGGCGAGCACTGCCACCCAGTGAGGAGGAACGGGCACAACAAGGCACCCTCTTCAGAGGTCACGGCCCGAGGGAACGGTGGGCGCCCCCCGGGACCCTGGAGCGCAGACTCTCAGGGCAGGAATTCAAAGGGTGAGCCACACCCCACCTGAGTTCATGTCACCAACTGCCGTGCGTGACACTAATTCTGCATCCACACTTGCACGGGGTGAGGCATAAAGTCAGAATGTCAAAACGCCACTGAAGGCACATTTTTAAATGTAAAATATCCAGACTCATGGATCACACACTTAAAACAAACAAAAACAACCCCCAGACCCGAACAACCCAAAAACAGCGCCAGTGAAGGTGCGAGCGGGGACAGGAGCCTCCGGAGCGTCCCAGGAGAGCCGGGCGGCGGGGAAGGGCGGGCAGCCACTGTGCGGGGGCAGCAGGCAGCCCCCCGCCCCGCAGCCACCCGGGGAGGGGAAGGCCAACGGGAAGCTGGGGCAAGGGGCCTCCCGGCCATGACCCGCCGCCTTCCCCTCGCAGCTGCGGGCCAGCGGCGCGCAGGGTGGGCGCCCGCGGGGCTGTGAACCCCTCCCCCGAGGGACTCGGGTGCCAGCGGGCGGGGGCTGGAGGGCAGGCGGCTGGGAGCAGGCTCGGGGCGGGCAGGGCTGCTGCGCAGTTCTCGGCTGCCACGGCCGTGGGGCCGGACGCTCCCGAGACCGCTGGGCAGGAAGGAGAACCAGTGACAAAGGTCACCTGATGGGTCTGGCTCACGAGAGACTGTAAAGTGACGCCCCCTCCGCTCTACTCGCGCGACAGCGCCACGCAACGCGTGCCCGAGACGAGCGGCACAGCCTCACCCGCCGGTTGAGCGCCGTCTTGCTGCCCAGCTTCGTCAGCTCCCCGAGGCTGATCTGCGAGACTCGCCGGTCCGCGTCCTCCTGGGCCCCTTGGACGACAGAGCAGAGCGCCGCTGGGCTGGCGGGACTCGCCGCGGCACAAGGCGGCGGGTCCCCGGGAGCAGCTGCAGACCCCGGCCCGGAGGCCCCGCGGAGCCTGCCCCCCTGGGCTCACCCATGGCGTCCGAGCACGGGAGGTCCCCGTTGGTGGCCGCAGCGACGAGGTGCCGCCGGGCGCTGCTCAGCCCGCGGCTGTTGAGGAAGACGGGCAGGTGCACGATGTTGCGCATGTAGTCGTGCCCGTTGATGTTGGAGTCGCGCAGCACGCTGCTGAGGTTCTGGTTGATGGCCTTGATGATGATGTGCGGGTCGCTCGCGAAGATGGCGATGAAGGGGCCCTTCGAGAACAGGACCCGGACCTGGGGGGGGAGGGGGGGACACACGTGCGCTCGCCACACAGGCGTCAGGGTACCCCGAGTCGGAAGAGGTTTCCTCGGAACCCGCGTCACCCTTGGACGACGGTGTTCCTTACGAACTGTTCCGCACCGGAGGGCCACTCTACATGAGGACAGTCCTCGTTCACGTCTCCGCCTGGACTTCCCCCACCTGACAGGCTCCCACCACCGCACAGCGGCAGAGCCTCCCCGGGAAACGACGGGCCCTGCCCTCCGCTGGACATGCATGGTCCACGTGAGAGGTAGGCCGGGCACACGTGAGAAATGCCGTGGACACGCACAAGGCACTGGGCACGCCGGTCTCCGCCTCGTTAGGCACCGGTGCACACGACGCACCGCGGAGAGCCCTGGTGTGCCCGGCGTGAACGAGAGCCCACGGGCTCTGTGGGCCCCCTGCCTTCCTCGCCCCCTTGAGCCCTAGCCATCGGCCCGGAGAAGCCGGAGCCCCACGGAGGGTGGCCTCCAGAGCTCCTCCACGCGGGTGTCTCCTCACTCTGCCACTCAGTTACAATTATCTCAATCTGTTTGGGACGAATTATTTACTCTCGCTGTGTTTCAGCATGAAAACGGTCATTATCACAAAAGAAAAAGCACTATTCCGATTCCCCGTGAGCTATTCACGGAGCCACGCCCCCCAGCGGCCGCAGGTGACAACCACAAGTGTCAAGGTGGGGAGACGTACAGTGTCCAGCATCTGGAGCACTCGGTCCTGCTCGCAGGCGTCCAGCCCGTCGATGATGACCACCAGCCGCGTCTGGTTCTGCGTGAAGCTGTCGATGGTCTTTGCCATCCTGGCCATCAGCTCCACCTCGCACTTCAGGACCTGGGGGGAGGAGAGGCGGCCCTGAAGACGCGAGGGGGCTCAGCACGCTCCGCGGAGCCCCGCGGGGCCCTCTACCAAGAAGAAAGGGACCCACAGCCCCGCCACCAGCCACGGTCCCCTGGAACCGCAGTGGGTGCAGTCACAGCCCCCAGAGTGACTCCACGTGACGGGAGTGCTGCGAGCGCCCTCACAGCCGGGCAGGCCCTGTCGCAGCCCGTTTCTCCATTACACTGGGCCCAGTGGTCTCCTTCCAAGACCACGTGCCCCGACGTCTAACGCCCGAGGTCCGAATGCAAATCTGAACGACCTGACGCAGGCGGCTCCCTGACGACGCGTGGCCTTGACCACAGGGAGGGGCCGCGGATGCCGTGCCCGGGCCCCTGGGCTCTGAAACAACCCCTCATTTTCCCTCTCGGCGGCTCCGACCGCTCTCTCTCCCGGCTCCAGGGCAGCAGTTTCCAGCCCTGCTCACCTCACGGCACACATCCACTAACGACTAAATCCCGGGGCACATCACAAAATATTTATTTTTTGGCTGATCTGACAAAACAAAAAAAAGGTGTGACTTTGATTTACACAAAAATAATAGTAATTACCTACTCTTTTTGCTCCAAAGTGACTTTTTAAAAAGTCAGGTGCGCCTATACTTGTATGTTAAAATTTCTGGTCCCCAAAATTAACCAATCAGATGCAGCCCTTTTATGCAACGAGACCAGTAAGATGCAACTCTGCTATGTGACCTGCACGTTTATGGTGCAAGACAGGGCTTTCCCACGGGACGGCGGCCATTGGGTCGGCGGCGGCTGTTTTTTATCTGACAGTCTCAGGGAAGAGGGGTCCGTGCCCGACTCAACGGTCAGGTGGCGCGTGGTGTTTCAGGAGTTCCTGCAGCGCCGCACCAGCTGAAAACCGCTGCTCTGAAAAACCCACATTATTAGGTAGGAATTACCGCCGATGGGGTCATCAATGCGCTAACTCCTCTGATGTCTTAGAAAAGTCTACTTTATAAAAACGTGTCCTTGCTACAACTTTTCCCACTTCAGACACGCATGTCCACAGGAAACACCGGGCTGACACTGCAAACGCGACACACGCACACTCGGCACGCGCACGCCCCCAAGCCCAAAGCCCGCAGGCAGCCGTGGGCGCCCACGCACAGCACGGCCAGCCCGGCAGCCGCCGAGCGCTTACTTTCATGAACCCCTCGCTTTTCAGCTTGTGCAGCTTGGAGGCGGCGCTGTGCAGGCGTTTCCTCTGGGAGTTCAGGAGGGAGTCCAGCACCTGCCACCAGGTTCGGCAGTTCAGCACGAAGGCCAACCCCACCACGGACGCGATGGATATGAGCACAGCATTCACTGTCAGATGCTTCGGGTCGACCCGGAAGATGGCCAGAAGGGTGACCCCGGCAACGATGCAGCCGAGGACGAACAGGAAGATGACGAAAGACGGGAGACAGCACGTTTTCTTCCATCTCTTCTTACCTGCGGCACGACGGGCGGCCTCACCGTCACCGACCCTCCCGTGCCCGGGTGACCCTCCCGTGGCCAGGTGACCCTCCCGTGGCCGGGAGTCCCGGGCACCGCGGGACCGCGCACGACAGGCCTGATGCTCATGCACGTTCGCGGCGCACCCCGAACCCCCCACACACGGCGGGGAGGGGGAAGGAGAGGGGAGGAAGTCCTACCCTGCGTGTCCTCCGTCTTGAATACTCGGAAGAGCCTGGTGGCCAGAAAGCCGAACTCCCGCTCGCAGGCGTCCGAGAGGGTGGCGATCATCTCGGCCATGGACGTCTCCCCACCCACGCTGGACAGCCGGTTGTAGTCTGTGAACAGGAACCTGGGGCAGAAGGGGCTTCCTCAGCCCCTGAGGAAGCCACGGCAACGCCCATCCTCTACCCTGCGCTTCCTCACGTCTCATTCCCAGTCAGGCCCGAGTTTCAGACTCCAAGGAGGGAAGAGAACCTGCAATCAGGCATCTCCCGCTTCCAGCCGCTCACACGTTTTTCTCTGGCAAGACCGTGAGAAAGTCTCGTGCGGCACTTTCACACGAAGCAATTCTGACTACAGGCAGAGGGGACAAAGGGTATGAGAGCGTCTGGGAAGGAACCAGACACCTCACAGACCTCGTGACACGGCCAGAAGGTGGCACCCCCGCCCTGGCCAGGTGGCTCGGTTGGCCCGTGCGCCAAAAGGTTGCAGACTCGAACCCTGGCTGGGGTGTACACGGGAGGGAACTGATGGACATCTCTCTCCCTCCCTCTGCTCCTGTCAAGGGGCCTGCTCACCGCACGGGCAGCGCCTTGGTGGTCTGCTCCGGCAGCTCGGGCGGGTTCACGAACATCAGCTTCAGGAGCAGCTCCAGGTAGCCGATGTGTCTGGCCAGCGTGGTGCTGAGCACCCAGGCCCAGTTCCAGCTCTCGCCTTCCCTTCGGCCGCCGAAATAAATGACGACTGAAATGTACAGTTGAAGTTAATAACTACCCAAAACGATCATCAGTTCAGCAGCCTCTTTCTTCCAAACAAGTGTCAAATACGACTGGTAGGTTTACATAATTTCTCATGTCCTATGCTACTTCCTAACTGAAAAAGTTCCTCAATGAACCTCCACCAATATATAGAAGGCATATGAAAACTGTAAAGTTAACAGACTCAAATACGACATAGGAAAGAATGCCTTGGAAACATCCCCTAGTTCAGATTCCAACGTGAATACTTTGGACTTCACTGCCATTTACAACTGCTGAAACCACCAGTTCCTCCAATCCTAGATCTATTTCCTGTCTTACAACTGAAAACACCCTGAAGACAGGGATTATGTATGTACACACATATATATATCTATATGTATGTACGTATATACACACACACACATCCTTTACTTTGTTTTTAAATACAGTAAAAATTACAATCATGGTCAAAATGTTCAAGGGCATGCCAGTGATGGCTATGAGGACTTATTTTCAAAACGACTCAGACATAAATCATTGACTGACACACAGAAGGGCAGGAAGCACCGTAAATCTGAGCTCCGCTTCCCTAGGAACAAGCAGAACGCTAGTTTTAAAGCTAGTCCAGCCCGGCTGTGGGCAGCGTCCCTTAGGCCAGCTTGTAAAACAGCAAAAAGATCAACTTTCTAACCTCACTATGAAAAAACCCACAGGTTTTAAGAGATAGATACAATCTTCCAAGTAAAACAATGGGTCTCGCTACTTTCCACAACTCCGAGAACCTAAGAAGCAAAGACTCACTGAACAGCATGTACAGGAGGGCCAGGACGCTGAGGGACACGGCCGCGCCGAGGCTGGGGTCCACCGAGAAGGCGAGCAGCAGCCCGAGGCCGCCACAGAGCGCCAGCGTCAGGAACACGATCAGCCAGGAGAACTGGAAGAGGGGCTCGATCTGCTGCCCCGCGAAAGTCTTCATTTCGTCTGGAGGGGAGGGTGAAGACGTCACTCCCGACCCAAGAAACCCGACTCCTAGCTCAGCCCAAAAGCTCTGCGTTTGAACAGGAACAGCTGCAGGGCCCTTGCTACACCCTGGATGAAACCAATGACCTCCCGCGACCAGCAGCAGAGCCCCGATCCCGAGGGGCACCTGCCTGTCCGACCCGCCCTCCTGCTTCCCGTGGAAGAGGCACAAGGTCCTCCTCCTCCGGGCATGTCCCTCGCGGGGGCTTTGCTGACCCTGGTTTGTCGAGGTCTGCCTTACACAGCAGCAAGGTACCGTCTCCGGATGGGACACCGGGAAGGTGACTTTGCTGTGCCCTCGCCGCACCGCCCACCCCGCCACACTGTGCCCTCCAATCACACTGGGGATCGCAGCTCTTCTGGGAGGGTGTCGAGCCCAGGTGAGCCCTAAACAAGTTGTTCTTTCTACGACACCGGGTGGAAACTCCGCAGGCAGTGCTGAGACCTACCCCGAGGGACGAGTGAGGCTTTGCGGAGCAAGAGCGTGGGTGTCGGGGGGCAGGACGTGGGGAGCTGTCCAGGAAGAGTCTGGCACAGGGACCACCCCAGGCAAAGCGTCTGGTCCGTCTGCAAGAGCGGGCAGCACGGAGCACGCACGGGCGGTGCGGGCGGTGCGGCCACGCGTGCTGTCAGCGCGTGAGGGACACTGGACGTGCGGGCCACAACGGCACAGGCAGAAACCGCTGCTACGTGCAGGGTCACTGGGTCATGACACGGTGGGCCTCTTTTCAGAAAGAGGACTTAAACGAGCGTGGGGGACCGACGAGGGGCGTCAGAACCCGACTCCTTTCAGCTCCGTGCACGGTGTGACACACGCACCCAGCACGGAGCTCTGTGTTCCTCCACTCACAGCACCTGAAACCACCAGACTGCACCACCGGCCCCTTACCCTCCAGCTTCTTGAGGAGGAAGGACTTGCCGCTCCCCCACTGGGCGTAGAGCCCCACGCAGATGGGCGGCTGCATGGTGGGCTCGCTGAGGATGTCCGCCAGGGCGCTGCTGTACAGGTCGTAGCCCAGCATGTCCCCATCCGTCTCCGTGGGAGACAGGTGTCCTAGGAGTAAAGGGAGACGTCAGTTCTCACCTACCGTCTGTTTAATTAGAGGGAAAAGTTATCGTAAGTGGTTGGACCTGTGTAAAAACAGGTTCAGACGGTCTTAAATACCACATGTTACTTAAGATACCTACTGACATCAATGATGAGATACAGTCCAATTTCAGAGATGTTGAAATGTGGAATAGGGTACATTTTAGAATCAATACAATATGGTTAAAACAGAAAGCAGTCCATGGGGACAAATTTAACACGTGTAACAGCTACATAAACAAACCTACAAAAGTTACTAAAGATCATGGTTAATTCAAGAAGAGGAGACACTCCACGCTACCAGGCAGAAAGGTTCAATGGCTTAAAGCTATCAATTCTCCCCAAATTAATCTATCACTTTAAGGCAATTCCAATAAAAAAAAAAACAGAGACTGTTTTGAAAAATTCAAGAGCAAAAACATGTAAGAGTAGCTAAGAAGAAAATGTGAAGACTACCAAAAAGTAGTTGTCCATAAAGATACAATAACTAAAAAAACATAGAACTCACACAGGATATAAACATATGTACGTTTCAAATCAGTGGAAAAAGTATGAATTAGTAAGTGGTATTAAGAAGTTAGACATCCATTAAAAAAAAATAAAATTACTACTCCAAACATCTCATACCTTACATAATAAAAGTAAGTTTCTGAAACATTAAAAAATTAAATGTAAAAAAGAAAACCATAAAAATAATAGGAGAAAAAAACTTTTTTAAAAAAGATTTTATTTATTTATTTTTAGACAGAGGGGAGGGGAGGGAGAGAGGGAGAGAACCATCAGTGTGTGGTTGCCTCTCATGCGCTCCCTACTGGGGGCCTGGCCCACTACCCAGGCATGTGCCGTGACTGGGAATCAAACCAGAGACCCTTTTGTTTGCAGGCCGGCACTCAATCCACTGAGCCACAGCAGCTAGGGCAGAATAAACTTTTTAAATATTTCCTTGGAAAAACCCGTTCTCAATAGAATACCAAAGCCAGAACTGCAGGAGGAGAGTGACAAACTAAAAAGAAACTAACTTTTGGACAGGGAATGAAATACAGAATAAGCTGGGGCAGAGATGCGACAGATAGGCTGGATCCAGGATCAATATCTGTAACACGCACAGACACTTAAAATCCATTTTTAAAAATATTAAAAACTCAAGAAAAACGTTGGCTAGGGATACAAGGAGAAAAAGAGCAAAAACACAGGCAGCCGGGAATGTGTGGAAGGACCACACTCTCACGGTAACTGGGCTCCCACAGTGACTGTGCTCTCACGGTGACTGCGCTCCCACAGTGACTGTGCTCTCACGGTGACTGCGCTCCCACAGTGACTGTGCTCTCACGGTAACTGCGTTCCCACAGTGACTACGCAGTGAGACTGCGGTGAGCGCCCCCTTAGGGACCGGGTGGGCGGGGCCCCAGAGGGCCGCGCTCCACACACGGCGGAGGGAGCAGATGGCGCTCCAGCCGTTCCGGAGAGTCGACCAAAGCTGCGAACAAGCACTAACCGGCCAGCTCTCCTCTGGGGAGCTTATTCTAAGAAAATAACCCTAAGATAAGAGTTACTGGATGTGTGTAGAAAGATGTTCACTGCAGTGCCGGCTTTTGACAGCAAAACAAACCAAATATTTATCAACGGAGGCCTGAACGCACTATTAAAATACTACAAATGAAAGACTGTACAGTCAAAATATGGTTCAGTTCATTATTAAAAACCTTTATAATATGGTATGACCTGATTTTTTTAACATTATAGATACGGTATAAAACATTTTTAGAAAGGCAAAACTGTTGGGAGGGTCATTCAAACCACTGTGTAGTAGGTGATACGGGACGGGGAGATTTGTAGTACCGATACTGTACTTGTGTCTTCATTCTTGAGATTTAATGAGTGTGTTATCATAATTCAAAATACTTTACAGTGCAAGAGTCCTCTCTACAGACAGCCTGCAGTGAGAAGCTCAAGGGGGAGGCGGCGGGGTTCTGCCACCTCCTGCTGGTTTCCTTGTTGGGTATGTTGGTGACACGCCTCTTCTTTCATTCAAGTAACAACTGCTCTACCAGCAGTTTCAAAAGACCCCACGTGAGCGCGTGCGTTCTCACGTGCATTCCTGTCACTCAAGAACTACCTCAGCCCAGCAGCCAAGGCACTGACTACACGTTCCAGAGGACGCAGGGATACCCAACGGGGCCCAGGGATCTGCATGCGAGAAAATTCTGAAAGGGACAGGATAACAAGCCACATACAGTAAGTGTTAAAACAGAAAATGTAGACACAACCGCTCAAGTATGTGGCTGGTTAAGTGACAGATGCGAAACTGCTGCTGGCCCCCACATTGTCTCACAGAACACCCATTCTTCTAAAAGCTCAGGCAGGAACAAAGCCCAGTACTCACTGGCTCCAAATATCTGAGTGAGAATGCTCTTCTGGTGGCTGCAGTCGATGTTGTAGGGCGTCTCGCCCGCCTTGTTGGGCCTGTAGAGCAGCCTCCCATCTTTGGGGTTCCGCAGCAGGAGCTCGGCCAGCTTCCGGCTCCTCCCGCGGATGGCGATGTGCAAAGGCGTGTCCCCTTTCTGGAAACCAGCGGCAGAACACGTGAACCTCCATATATTTAAATACAGAATATGCAGAGCAACTGTCCTGTTTCTGCGAAACAACTGAAAATCTGAACTCCTCGTGTTTTTCAGGTGGAGTACATAAACACTGTGGGTTTTTATCTCAGATTCCCCGGCAATGTCCTTCTCCCTCTCCTCACCCAGCTCTCCTTGGGGACACCGTCCCCCGCAGCCCTCCAAAACGAAGGTCACTCCCCTCCCCTCCCCCCTTCCCTGAAGTCACCCTGCAGCTCCTCCCGGCCTGGTCCCCTCCAGCACTGGTTGCCCGCAGACGCCAGCTGCCCTCCTCAGCCAGCCCAGGCTCCGGCTTGCAGACTCCCCTCTCCTGCCTGGAAGCTCTGCGACCCGCACTGCTGCCCCGCCTAGCGCGAGAGCAGCAGAGCCTGGGCATGGGATGGAGCCCCCTCTCCTGCCGGGCATGGCGGGGCGGTGCCAGCTGCTCTGGGGGCCAGTCCTGCGGGGTCTTCCCTGCTGCGCATCTGCAGGAGGCTCCGCCCTCACATGTCCCCCACCTGCAGTGCTCGCCGCAGCCCCCAACTGGTTCCAGCAGCACGGGGTCCTCTGAGGCAGCTTCCGGGCTGGCCCGTGGAGCACGCCCCCCCCACCCCTCAGCTCAGCATGCAGGGAACCGCCAGGAAACGGCTGCAGCCCTGGGATCTCCTGGCACCGCTGCAGTCGGACCCCTTGTCCACCAGATGAACAGGTCAGCCCCCCAGCCACCTTCCAGTCCAGACAGTGTCCCCGCCCACAGGGGCCTCACCTTGTCCACGGCAGACACCTTAGCGCCTTTGTCCAGCAGCAGCTCCACCACTTCGATGTTCCTCATCTTGGTGGCCTTTATCAGCGGGGTCTCGCCGTCCTGTGGGCACACGTACAAGAGTTTGCCAGGCTGAGAGTGCTACGCCTGGATGTTCCACGTCACACACACGCATGTGCAGGATTCCGTGATCCGATTCTGGAACCAATCGATGTCAACAAAGTTCCCAAGAAAACAGAGTTGTAAAGACTAACAAGAAAACTGCTTTTCCTTTCACAACCATTCTTCTGTATCAAAATAATCTGACGTCACTCAGCCAAGTATGGGATGTGACCCACTGCCTCGTTGCCACTTCTGGCCACAGGCACTGGCCCTCGATACTGCTCTGTCCCCACCCCGTGTCCCCGGTCCCAGGCCGGCGTGCGGGTGACACCTCCAGAGATGCCGCCCTTCCTCACCACGGCCCCCCCCACCAGCCACAGCCCAGCCGTCCGGGCCCAGGCAGGCCAGCGTCTAGATTCCTCCCGCGTCCACACCTGCGCCACGTCTACTTTCTGTGCCCTTTCACGAAGGCCTGTGCGTAGCAGGGAGAACAATTTGACCCAGCAGTACGCTTTTGGAAAACGTCAAGAATTCATGATTCCTTTAAAAAAAAACAAGAGAAACAGGAAGAGACCACAGCGCGGCACTGAGCTGAGAGAGAAGCCTGGCCAGAAGCTGCAGGTGGTCGTGGTGGCCGAGAGCCGGCCCACAGAGGAAGAAGCGAGGTCACCAGGAACCACCTGCACACCAGCAGGCGGCCCGGGGACCCTCTGCCGGGCGCCGAGTCTCCAGCACTGGTGCGGGAAGACGCTTGTCCCCACCGCTAGCAGACCAAACAGCCTTGTCTTACGGGCGACACCCAAACTTTGTTTTCTTCACGAAGGGTTCCTGCCACTTCGCTCTAAAATTCCAAGAACGCCTTCCCCACAGAAAACGTCACACACGGGGCCAGGCGCAACCGCCAGCGTCTGACGCGGGCTTCTGCTTTCACGGGCTCTCAGGGACTAGACCACGGGGGCCGGTCTGCAGGCCCACAGCCACGCACGGCGCCTTCGCCCAGCAAGCGGGCTCTGCGCCCCGCACAGTGGGAGCACAGAGGAACACCGGGCACGTGGTCCGTCCTCGGCTGACGAGCAGCTGGCACTGTCCTTTCCGGGCACAGTTACCTAAAGTAATAACTGCGCACTCGGTTTTCCCGTGAGCACACGTCCCTGGAAGGACGCAAAGCCGCTCCTCACTGTGACACAGCATGTCGCCAGCGAGACCGGACCAGGACCACCAAAAGACGCGCAGGCCCGCCCGCCAGGCCCGGCCGCCGTACCTTGGTGCAGATCTCCGTGTCCGGGCTGCACTGCAGGATGTCCCTCACCATGGTCGCGTTTCCTTTCTCCACCGCCCAGTACAGGGCCGTCTTATTGTCCTGCGTCATAAAGGGAGAATCAGCAACTGCTTCCTGTGAGGCGCGGCGTTCAAACACTGCTACACGTGAACGCGAAAGATCTGACGACGCCGACGCAGGGACCCCGCAGCCGCGGCGGGGGCACGGGGCGACCCGGGCACGCACCGGGCCCGGCAGTGCTCGCACGCCTGTCTCTGCAGGAGAGTCGGCGGAGCGGCACTGAGACCGGCCACCACGAGGACCCGCCGGGCCCAGAGACACGCGCGGCGGCGCCGTCGTCGCACGCACCTGCCCCCGGATGTCTATGTCGGCGTATTTCTGGAGAAGCGCTCGCACGATTTCCACGTGCCCGCCTCTGACGGCCCCGATCAGCACGGTGTCCCCGCTCTGAGGAGGCAAGAGAACGAGGTGAGCCCACGGTGAGAACACACACGCCGGGTGGGCGTCAACGTTAGTCACCTGCCAACACCACAGGTTTTTCCTGAAAATTTCCTGGGAAACGGTATCTCTAAACACAGAGAGAAATTTCAGCTGCTGCCTTGGAGCGAGAGACGGAAGACCAGCCCTCCAGGCGAAGACTCCGAGGCTCCAGGACGAAGGTTCAGGGAGACAGCCGCCAGGACAGTGAGCCGTCCTCTCTGAGGGCGACCTTCCACGACAAACGTAACGTAAAGAAACGACCCCACGGCTGCCAGTGACCCGCGCGAAGGTCCGGGAACGACGCGACACCGTCCCCCCCCCCCCGGGGTGACGCTGCGCCACGGAGGCCGTGGTTTCTGCAGGAGCAGCTGCGGGGCCGGCGCCGGCGCGGGTCTGCGGCCGCCCTCATGGGGGGAGGGCGGCCCTGGGAGCAGCGCCCCCCCGTCCTGGCCCCCGCCGGCATGGGAGGGCAGCCTCGCAGAAGCCCGACTCAGCCCCAGAACAGGCTCCGGGGGGCCGTTACCTCATAACAACATCTCTTTGCCCTGAAATTACGTTCACCAAGCAATAGTCATTATTAATTACATCTTCCCACTGCCTCGCGGGGACGGCTGCTTTGGTGATGGGCATTTTCCTAACTGCTAGATCACACGCCAGCTGCAGGGACGTGGGTCGGCCTGTCCGTGCGCTGTGCCCAGCTCCGCCCCAGTGGGCCTGTGAGCTACAAAACGGGATGCGGTCCTCGAGGGTCATGGGGTGCAGTGCCACGGTGTCGCACCTGAACCACCACGTGGGAAGCAGCAACAAGCCCAGGCAGACAGATGCTGGTGGAGGATGCCAGCACTGACACGGCTCCAGACCAGCAAACGAGGTTACAGACGCTTCACTGCCCGCTACGTGCCCCACAGTGTGGGCACAGGGACACCAGGAAGACAGGGTTCCGTCTCCTCGAGGATGGACAGTCCACAGGAGACAGGTAACACTGGGAGACACCAATGTAAAACCAGACAAACACCATGGAAATAAAATAAAGTACAGTGATGAGACTTGGCTGGGTGGCGGGGTGGCAGGGGCAGCTGGAGACCCTTCTGCGGAGGTGCTGGCTGGGCCGGGAGCCAGAGCCAGCCCCAGCATGGCCGTGAGGGGCAGCACCCCAGCATAGCACAGCGGGGGCGCAGGCCCCGGGCAGCCACAAGATCTGCGTGTTCCAGGACGTGGACGCGCCCACGGGGCCACGCGCCGCTGGACGGGTGTCAGGAGGAGAGGAGTGGACACACGCGAGGACGAAGAGCCGGCCACAGACGACGTCACGCGGGACTCGCACACTGGGGGTGCGACGGCTCTCCTATGTGCACGAGGAAGCCTGGCTGATTTCAGTAAAGGGGGACACGTGATACCCACTGCTTTGAGGACCACTCCGAGGGCAGCGTGGAGAATCCATTAGAGCCCACGAGAGAACCCAGCCAAGATGCTTTTGCTCCCACAAAGGGAGACGGGGGCTTGCCCTTGGGAGGGGGCCCTGGACACGAAGGGACAAGGGCAGAGGAAAGCTGTCCTGGAGGGAGGACCAATGGAACCTGCTGAGGGTCAGACGTGGTAGGGAGAGAAAGCACGGCCATCGCGCAGGACGGGGGCTTCAACCCCAGGGTGGAGGCGGGGCCATGACTGACGGAAAAGACCGAGGGAAAGCGGGTTGGGGAGAGACAGACAAAACGTCTACTCTGCTGAACGTTTCAGAGGCCCGTTCAAGCCCTGGCCGGCGTGGCTCAGTGGAGTGGGCACAGGACTGACAACCAAGGGGTCACCAGTTCGGTTCCCAGTCAGGGCACATGCCGGGGTTGTGGGCCAGGTCCCCAGGGAGGGGGGCGCAAGAGGCAACCACACATCAATGCTTCTCTCCCTCTCTCCCTCCCTCCCCTCTCTCTAAAAATAAATAAATAAAATCTTTAAAAAACCAAGCCCATTCAAGGAGAGGGTTCATGTGGAGTTGCGTACACAAGTGTGGACTTCTGGGAAGAGACGGATCTGGAGAATTCCCAGTGTAAGGGAGGTCCTTGAAGCCCAGAGGCCATGAAGAACATCCACGGTGACGCACATCAAGGACAGGTGCAGACTAATGGCACACGTGACATTCTCAGTAAGGACATCATCTGACAAAACCAGAAAGCACACCCTTCGCAATGACTCAGCAGTCTGTAACTTACTGGTGCTGAAGGAGGAGATAAAACTTATCCTAAAACCGAGTAGGCCTGCACGGAGGGCCGTGCAAGGCGGTGAGAAGTCGGGGTCACCTTCCCGCAGCGTCACCTTCCCGCAGCGTCACCGCGGGGAGGCACGCGGGCGGCCTACCCTGTCAGGCATGTTCACGTAGGTCCCAGCGTCAAGCAGGTCCTGCACGATCTCCGTGTGCCCCTCCTTGGACGCGATCATCAGGGCCGTGTTCCCGTCCTTGTCCGTCAGGTTCACGTTGGGGCTCCTCTTCAGAATCTCCTTCACCGACTGCGTGTAGCCCCCTTTCACGGCCACGATGAGTGCCGTCATGGAGTTCTACGTGCAGAGAGAAGCCCGAGCAGTCAGCGCACCCCAGAAAACATACGATTCGAGCCGCGATGATAAAACCCATGTTCGCAAGGAGGTGGCCCATTACCAGTCACTTCTGACAGTGAACGTCAGTGTAAGTAACCGGAAGCCTGCCGAGGTGGCCAGGAGGCCTGCGTGCACTTCGGAAGGGAGATCGCCCCGGGGCGGCAGCACGCCCGGCCCTTCAGCTCTCCGCTCGCTCGCCGCCCTGCAAGGGGCTCGCTGCAGCCATGCACCCTCCCGGCACCGTCTCACACGGTTGACCCGACGGTTCAAAATTAAACTCATTCTAAACTAAAGTACCCCAAGTGCGGTCTTTCAGACTCAACAAAGAGCGGTCTACAGCCAAATCTATGGGAAAAAACTGAAAACATGACTGCCTGGCTACAGGATATTTTAATAAAAGTACAACGTAGTCTGCTGTCTTCTACCGTGATCCGGAGACCCCATTTTTGAAGACTCCTATTCCAGTTGCTCTTTCAAAAACGGCACCTCCAATGTATAACTACGATCACCTAACGGAAGAGTCTGCCCCACTACTACAAGTACTGAAGTCCCTTCTGCAGGTTCTGCTCTGCTGTGAGCCGCACCCTCACCGGGAGAGCCCGTCCAGCCTGCAGCGGCGCCTGGGCGCAGCCCCGCCCCACGCGCAGAGAAGCAGCGTGTGGGGGCTCCTCCAGCACCCCTCACCCGGCTGGCTCCACAGCAGGGGCTCAGGGAGCGACTAGTAACTGTGAGTTGGTTGTATTTGAACCACTTTTAAAGCTTTCTAGGTTTAGACATCCAATTTCCGATATTTTTATATTTTTAAATCTGTCTATTGAAGAACGAAAATAATTCACAGTTAAGAATATACAAATATTACAGTATTACTTTCTAATTTAAATAAATTTTAAACAAAACCCTTTTCCCATAATTCATGTATTTCAAACCATTTGATTTGAGACTATTTTAATTACACTAAGATCACTGAACAATATTCTTTATTTGTAGCCTCCCAAAATTTACGTGCGTTAAGAATGGATCCTTAAGAGCAAAAATTTACAGTACATAATATCTATAACATATTTATCAGGATAACAGCAAGAAAATGCTTATTTTTCTAAGCATCACTTACAAACTGTGGGAAATTTCTCTAGGTGTACACTAAAAAAAACCTCTCCCCCTTACAACTAGAAACACGTCTCCATTACCAGGGGAGAAACAGGAAAGACACTCACTGCGCCTTCTTGGTCCACGTCAGCCCCCGAGGCCAGCAAATGCCGGACACACTCCAGGTGGCCCTTCCGAGCAGCCCACACCAGAGGGGTGGTCCCGTACTGTAAAAACGAACAACACATGTAGAATTGTGACCAACGCTGCATGAAAAGAAACTTGCGCCGCGAATGCTGATAAAGGTCCCCCTTCAAGTGTCTCGGATCACCGCGCACACCCAGCAGAGCCCTAACCGCAGCGAAAGCGTACCCCCCTTTGTTTTCCCGGGAGAGGTGACTGACCGCTGCGCGGAGCGTCTTTTACCCGGCCTCGCCTTCTACAGTCGGTGAGTGCCGACCTCTCCATCATGAAGGCCCACACTCTACCGTTCAACAAGCTTTCGTTGCTTCCCGTATCTTGTGAAATATAACTGAAAGTTCAACAGTCTGACTACAGGCAAAAAGAGCTTGAACTACTTTAATGTAAACTCTTGGAATCTTTACCACACAAATAAGGAGATGGGGCAGTGTCACCCTTTCCCGCCGCGGCACATGAGGCCCTGAGAGGTTAGGTGCGGGCTCAAGGTCACAGCGCTGTGAAGAGGGGAGCCAGAGGGGAGCCGGGCCCACGACCAACCAGCAAGCCTGGTTCCAGTCTGCACTCTCGCCCACGCCCCACGTCAGCTCCGCACTTGACGGAAGACACTGCAGCCTAGACACCGCACTAAGAACCTTCTGCTGGAACAGGACTCAAAAGGCATCAAAGACTATAAATCGTGCATAAAATAGCAATGTTTTTATTGCTCTGGGGAGCCTGGCAGGCAGGAGACGCACCAACACCCACCGTGACCTCCAGCTGCCCGGGAGACCGCAGGTGGAAACGGACCTCCGTGAAGCCTGCCTCTGCAGCAGCCGCAGCGGCAGCCACTAGCCACCCGAGGCTGTCGAGCCCTGGAAATGTGGCAAGTCTGACTGGGAAGCTGAGTTATTTCACCTTATTTTAATCGACGTAAGTCTAAATAGCTACCTGTGGCTGGCAGCTACTGCCCCAGGAAGCCCACTCAGGGTGCCCAGCCCATGGCCTGCATGTGGCCCGACGGCCATGAACACGGCCCCACAGAAAACCGTGAACCGACTTAAATCCCTTTTGTTTGCCCACCAGTTTTCGTTAGTGTTTGTGTACCTAACGTGGGGCCCAAGACAACTCTTCTTCTTCGAGTGTGGCCCAGAGTCCCTAGAAGGTTGGACACCCCTGGACATCAAACATCTTGGAACCGAACTGTTGAAAGCTGTAGCCTGGGGCTCTGGAGGGTGGGGCCCAGGACAGCCCTCGGGGGCGGAGCCTAATGAAGGGTGGGGGGGGCAGAGGTCAAGGCCGAGGCCTTGGAGCAGCCTTAGACAGAATAAGGAACCCTTGAGGAGCTTCCCATTTTCTCTCCAGCATCTACCTTCTCTCAGAATTAAATTCTTTTCTAGCCTCTCCCTTTGTGGATAACGTTCCTCTGGCTGAAACGCCTTCCCCAAGTCTACAAATCAGACACCTCGGACGTCCTCAAAGACGGCGTGGTCGTGCGAACGCCGGCTGCAGGTCGGCAGAGCACTGGGCGGCACCGGAGCCACAGCCCCCCATGGCGCCCCCTCCTCGGCAGGCCCCTCCCTTCTTGTCACCAAAGGCTTCCCAACCTCTCGCCCGGCATGGCAGACGCTTCTGCGGCAGCACTCAGAACCGCCTCCACAAGTCTCTCTGTCTCGCCCTGACTCCTGGCCTCTACCCCCAATACATCCAGCCCCTCCCTGTGCACTGCGGATCCTGTTTTCCTGGTTCACCTAAAAACGTGCTCAGTGACTTCCTCCCCCATCACCCAGTCTTTCCCCTTGACTCCCCCTTCCTACAAATGGGTTTAGGTCTCTCCTAGCCTAAGAAACGTTCCAACAAGCCACCCTGGTAAGATACGGTTCACAAGGTCATGTGGGGTGCAGAGGGCAGGAGAAGGGGCAGGAAGGGAGGCAGGGCCCATCTTCACACGGCATACCGGGGCTTGGCGTCTCCAGGACGTTAAGCATAGGACAGAGATAACTGGAATTTTAGAAAGACCATTCTGGCAACAACACGAAAAGCAGACGGGACTAAAGTTAGGAAGAAAAGTTGTAAAGAAAAATCCAAACAGTGAAGACGGCGAATGCCCCGTCTGTCTTCCTGAGAATGATGACCGTGACATGGAAGCAACGGAAGGACCGTCTGCGAGGTGTGTATCCACATAAAGTGTCCTGATACGCGTCACTGGAAGGCACGTCCTGGCAGCCTCGTGAGATGTACGCAAACACGCGTCCCAAGACGCACCCACCAAAGGGCACCGTCCGGACGGCCCGGGCGGCCCCGCCGACCCACCTTGTCGGAGCAGTTGACCTTCGCGCCGTTCTGCAGCAGCAGGTGCACTATGTCCGCGTGGCCTCTCCCTGCCGCCCAGATGATGGGGTAGACGCTGTACTGCTGGGAGGCAGGGCGCAGGCGGGCGGCCAGGAGGAGAGGGAAGGAAGGAAGACAGGGAGCGAGGGAGAGAAAAAATCTTTTAGGTGGATATTCACAGCATGCATTCACTAAGAAAAGTAAATAAATGGAATAACACAAAGTAATGTTTTAAAAATCAAGTTACAGACCGTTCTCCACTTTAAAAACACACGATACTCATAATATATAATTGACAGCTAAGATGCACTCAACCTTAAATAAATATTATGAGCTCATTTATTTTTTTACAGAGTCAACACATTTGATGCGATTATCTAGCCAATGGGTAAGGCTAACAATAGAAATAGGAAACTTTTCTTATATAACACCTCCATTAATTTGAATAAAAATACATTTCTTTTTTCAGCTTTATCAAGGTACGTCTGGTAAAACTGTGAGACATTTCAAGTGTACAGCATGATCTGATACACACATATTGTGAAAGGATCCATTATGAAAGTCTCTTAATCTGCAGTCTGAGATCAAGAGTCACACAAAGTAGGGATGTGTGTATCACCATCTGTAAAATGCCCAGAAAAATGTCTATTTAAAAAAAAAGTTTAGATGAAGAATATGTGCCCACAGAAAACAGGTAAGATGTCTTCAGAATTTAAAACTCCTTCTGAAATGTTACACCAGTTATAATTAACATTTAAGCTCTAAGGGTTGCCTTTTGTTGATAAAAACTAAGAAATAAGCTGAGCTTGAGAAAAAAGTCTCACTGCACTTTAAAATCACATTCTTTATCTTTATCTTTAAGAAGATCTAGGTTGCTCTGGCTGGTGTGGCTCAGTGGATTGAGTGCCGGCCTGAAATTCAAAAGGTCGCCGGTTTGATTCCCAGTCAGGCAACATGTTGCAGGCCGCGTCCCCAGTAGGGGGCATACAAGAGGCAACCAATTAATGTATCTCTCACACATCAATGTTTCTCTCCCGTTCTTTTCCCCTCTCTTCCCTCCTCTCTGAAAATAGAAAAATAAAATCTTAAAAACAAAGACGACAATCTAGGTCACTTCTACTCGCTGTCAAGCCCGGAGTATGAGCAGCCTGAAGCATCTGCTAGGAGAACGCACCGCTCCCAGCACAGGAGGGGTCTCTCCATGCTTACCAGACCGGTGACGCTGGGGTTGGCGCCGTGGGAAAGGAGCAGCTCCACCACCTCGGTGCGGCCTTTGTAACACGCCCACATGAGAGCTGTCCATCCTCCCTGAGAAAATGGTGGAGGGAAGAAAATTTGAAGAGTCTCCAAGCACAAAAATGCCATTAACGAAGTTCCTTCTGTGACTATTATTTATAAAACCATTGCTTTATGAGGGCACTACTATATAGTTTTAAGTTCCCACGCTCCCCAGAGAAATACGGGGTCGGGCACAAATAACACCCCTTTTTTATTATAAAATCTTTTACTGCAAAATCCTAAGCATGTAATTCCGTAACATAACGATATCACACTCAACCACACCATATGACATTTCAGGTGAAGTGTTCACATTAAAACTATGCATCATTACGCCGATAGTATCACCCCACCAGCCACACACAGACAGGCCTTCCTTCTGCTGGACCCTGTGCACAAAAGTACCTAAAAGAAGCCCACAAATAAACACTCCAAACGCAGCACTGCGCCACAAACACTGAAACGTGGAACACTTATGTCGGACTTTTCCCAAGATCTGTCTTAGCTGCTTGAAACCTTTTCTTCAAAACATGCTCTGTCCTGAGACAGTCCCCTCCTTGTTTGCGCCCAGACTCCCGGAGCGGGTCCCGGCAAGCACGCCCTGCTGCCGAGTGTCAGCACACCCTCGGGCCCAGGCCACACAGGGCCTCCTGCTGAGAGAGAGGGCACTCAGGCAGGGACCTGCGGATCAGGGTTTCCAGGGCAAACGATGTCATCAGTGTGAATTAACAGCAGGGTAACTTTCTGTTTTCTATGCTACAGAAGCAATCTTCTCTTTTTGAGTAATTTTCCCTTTAGCTATAATACAATTCAATAAAAGAGACCAATGTAATCAAATTATAAGAAACATTTTATTTTCTTAAAAATCAGTACTTGGACCAATTCTTTGATTCTGAGAATATAAATCAGTTCTTCTGATTTTGTTTCATCATCACTAAAAAAAGAGAGTTAAGAAGTACTTGTCCTAATCTGAAAAAGGCAGCATGGTAGGACGGGAGACCAGGTCCGTGGCGGCGAGGGGCTGGGGAGTGAGCGGAGGGCTGACCCCACAGCCGCAGCTCGGGGCAGGTGAAGCGGTGACACTGCCCTGCACAGGCCCCGCACAGGCCCGTGGGGTGGGCACACGGCGTCACGCACTCGTCAGAAACCAAAGAACACACCCGCCACAGACAGCGAATTCTACTGCAGGAAATATTCTTAAAAGTCAACCAGGGTACACGAAGACACAGCCTGGGACAAATGAATCTAACTATGTCACAACTGAAGCACATAATTACTCAGAAGCTGACCCTTGGTAACTTTGGAAAACATATTTGGACTGAATAATGCTAAAAACCAAAATAACCGTACACAAACGCCGTACTTAGTAGGTAAATTTGTTTCTCTCTGGATATGGGCTAGGAATTCTGCAACCACTCTGTCTGTCCCCCAGGGCTGACAGATGCGCAAACCCAGCGCGCACACAGTAAGGGCCAGGTTTGTCACCGTCCGGGAGGAGCCACGAGGGGAGGAGCGGGAGGAGGCTGCACGGACGGAGCTGGCGGCGTCAGGCCTCGCCCCGAAACACAGACGCACTCGCGCACACGGTCAGGCGCAGAGAGGAACGTACGGGCGCACCCGAGTTAGCGCCCGCACGTACTCCCACGTCTCTCCGTCAAGGGGGGCTACGACCAGCGAACCCCGGCAGCAATAAGCACCCCTAACACCTGAGGACTGATTTCTCACTACCGCTGTCCAGGCCTGGGGACCAAGGCTCCGTGGAAAACAGTCCAGGGCAGACAGTCGGGAAGGTGAGCGAGGGAACACGGGAGATGAACCTGGGCCTGAAGCACCTCGTGGTGCCAGACAGTAAGGGCGCACTTAAACAACGTGGGAAGTCAATCAGAGGGCAGGGCGTCTTACAAGGGTGCAAAAGCTCCCACGGCCAAAGCCGGACCAGCCTGAGCAACAAACCAGGGAGAGAACTGAATGACAGCTCACAGAGTGAGAGAGACGTTCGTTCGTGAGCCCACGTGTGTTTATGTCTGGGACAGACGGAGTGGGGGAGTGCTCCTTCCCAGAAGAGCTGCGATGAACGAACAGGGGGACGAGCAGGGGGACGAGAGGAAGAGAGGAGCCCCCACGACCACACCCCGGGAGTCGCCGCTGCAGGCCGCAAACCGGCGGGTGCAACAACACGTCAGAGAACGTGTCGTCAAAGCCGGGCTACTGTGCACGGTATTAAAGTGCCCCCCGCCCCCCCGCAAACACTGAGTGCCCACGAAGGGAAAGAGAGTGATCTGACAGTGAGGAGATCAAGGTCAGCGTCGCCACCAGGTGCCAAGACGCGGGGCTCCGAGGAGGGCCGCTCGGGCCCGTGGTGCCCGGCCCAGTGCAGCGCAGTCCCACCCCCACCGTGAGGAGTGCCGGGCAGCCCAAGGGGAAGGAGACTGTCCACAGATGCCGGACGAGCCGTCTGCAGCGGTGGCGGCGGCGGCGCCAGGAGACACTGCAGGGCTGGACGGTTCAGTCCAGTCAGATCCCTCCCCCCCACCGATACTTCCACCTGTGAAACTCCGGGCAGGCCTGTTTCGATCCCACGCCCCTCCCTCTGCAAGACTCCAGATACGCACCTGCCCTTGCGACGACTCTGCCCAGGTGGGCAAAGGAGGAAGGTGGGGACCGCCGCCTTCAGCGGGGGCTGCAGTCCGCCAGCCACTCGGGCCCTCTCGGGGAAGACTGCCCACTAGACGTGCTGACACTGGGCCCCGGAATGGCTCCCGAACCCCAGCAACCCTGCAGGGTAACCCTCCTCGCCCCACCCGAGTCGCAGGGGCCACACCTTCCCTCACAGCTCAAGGCTCCCGCCGCCCCTCAGCCCTCCGCCCCCCAGCCCGCCGCCCCCCAGCCCTCCGCGGTGAGGGCCCCTAGCACTGACTCCTCAGCAAGACACAGCGCCCGGTTTCCCCGGCCGGTGGTGTCCTACATGCACACGCACAGACCCTTTAAACGTCAAAATGTGTCGTGATAATTATTTAGGGGAAACAGAAATGTGAAGAACTAAAAATGTTTAAGAAATCACTTTCTACACAGTTTATGAGGTTTTGCACCTTTGTCACGCATGCTCCACACACCCTCACTCTCCCGCACACACGGGCTCAAAACTCAGCGGCCTGCCCCGCGGCCGAGTGACTCCGAGCAAGGGCGCCTCCCCCAGGCTGCACCCCGGAGCCGCGCCGCCGAGAGCAGAACCCGCCGCCGGCCCGGATCCGGCCCTGGAACAAGGAACAGCACACAGCCTGAGTGAGACGGTGGAATGCGGCAGTTTCTCAAGCACGCGGACCCTCCATGCTTCATGAAACGTCATCAGCAAAGTAACCCAGGTTTTACATGTCAAAGCGGATCGATTCCTTTCTTTCTCCCACTGTGAAAATTAACTTTTGAGAAGACTAAACATTTTGCAGAATGAATAAGCCAAAAATAATCCCTTTCTTTATTTTTGTGCTCTAAGCAGATGCCAATATACATAAGTAGCCAAGATAATTAAGAATCATATCATTAAGCTTACAATGGGTATAGATAGCATGTCTGAACATGATTACATTTTAAAAATAAAGTTACAGACTGGCTGGTGTGGCTCAGTGGACTGAGCACCAGCAAGTGAACCAAAGGGTCGCCAGTTCAATTCCCAGTCAGGGCACATGCCTGGGTTGCAGGCCAGGTCCCCAGTAGGGGGCGTGTGACAGGCAACCATGCATGGATATTTCTCTCTCTCTCCTCCCTCCCTCTCTAAAAATGAATAAATAAAATCTTTAAAAATATATAAATAAATTTGTAACTATTATACTGAAAATTACAACAAAAATATTTTAAAAACGATGCTATGTCCCTCTTAAATAGATAATTCTCTCATAAATTCTAAAACACTGGCACATTAAAGGGTAATGAGTATTTTTAACAATATTTCTGAATTTTAAACTCTAAAAGTGACGACTAAGACTATTCTAAAAGAGGCGTATCACACCACCTGAGTTTTGAAACCTTCTTGAGGGTCACTCCCACGCCCAGCCCCAGCCCCTGAAAGCACCGTGACGTCCCCGCACACGCAACGACACGAGAGCTCCCGCCCGCCCGTCACCGTCGCTGCGCGGCAGCCGGCTCACGCCCACGGCCCAGGGCCCGCGTACCATGTCTCGGTGCTCCACGTCGGCCCCACACCTGAGCAGCTCTTCCACCACGTGCACGTGCCCTTCCTTGGAGGCTGATATGAGTGCAGTCCAGTTATCCTTGAACACACAAACACAGGTGTTGCTGTTTCAAAACCGAAACACTACTTCAAGCTGAGGACAAGAAAGCCGAGCGTCCGTACCACACGATCGTACCCCACTGACACGACGGACCCACCCGACTCCCAAGCCACAGGGAGCCGAGCCCCGGCGGGGGGGCGGGGGGGGCGGGGGGGCCCTCCGTCTGCGTGTGTGACTGCACGGCGCAGACGTGGTCCCACAGCTGCTTGCTCAGTCTTCTCGCCAGACTTCTAATCACACAGTGTGTTTTGTACAAAGGAGAAAAGATGCCTGTCAAAACCTCAAAGCCAGTCTCGTGGCCAGCCCCCACCGCTCTGTACTGCGATGCAAAGCAAGGGCAGTGGAGACGCCAGCGCACGCTGGCGGGCCGCCAAACTGGAGCGACCCGCGACAGCTGGAGAGCATGCGCTAGAGAAAGAGCTCTTCTCCCTTTTTTAGACACAGGCCACAAGTGTGCTGTCCGAACTTTGATTCCTGGGTGCCACTGAATTCAAATGACCATTCAATAAAAACCATCGATTTAAGACAATAAATTTTAAAACACAGGCGTGGAAAAATCTTCTAGCCTACAAACCACTGCGGGGCCCGAGCGGACCGCCCCTCGGAGTGCTGTCGGGGGGGGGCACGGCTTCCCAGCCGCCACCACCACGTGACGGATGCGATGATACCCACCGCAATGAGGGGACACCCCAGGGAGCTGTGTGACAGCCTGGTTCCCAGGCGGGCGTCTCTCAGGCAGGCGTTTAACTCGTGTGCGCACGCTTCCTACCCTGCCCGCGCCGTCGGCATCTGAAACCAGGAGGTGCTGAGAACCTTCCTTCAGAGTGAAAACCTCCCCCTTCTCAAAAGGTTAACTTGGCCCGCTGCAGCCAAAGATGATATATAACTGCTAGTGTAATTTGTAACCTGTTATTTCCGAGTCACTTTGTAAAACAAACAGCAAAGGAAAAGAAAACGAAGGCAAGTTGTTTCAACACATACCAAGTCTTCCAGGTTGCAGTTAGCTCCATTCTTAATCAGCTCTTTCACTATCTCCAGGCTGCCCTGCTCCGCGGCTATCATGAGCGGGGTCTGGCCGCACTGCGGGAGGCGAAGGGCACAGAGAGCTCGTCAGGGCGCTGCGCTGCGGCCGAACCGCCAAAGGCACACGCTTACATTTCCCTAACACGACATTCAGTGCCGGTTACAGAATTTCTTTAAGTTAGAAACACCCTTGAGATCTCAAGTTTCCAGTTTCCTAATAATGCAACCAAGAAAAAAGTAAAACTTTTTTTTTTACTACAACATGAGTAATCTTCTTATGGCACTGAAATTTCATTTGGAATCAGTATACGAGTATTACCAGGCTCTGAAAAGAATTATCACAAGTATATAAAAATCTTAGGATACCTATGGTAACCAAATTCTAACAATCCAGTTAGGTTATAATACAGAATGTGGTTTTAATAATATGTATTTGACAAATCATCAGAACTAAAGGCACAAAAGTTCACACATTCATATTTACATATGTATATGTGAAAACTAAAATCACTTCTTATCATCTTAACCACCGGCAAAAAAAATTACACTATATTGAAAACACAGTTTTAAGAAACAAAATTATTTTTATTAAGTTTCAAAAAACAAATACATACTTTGCCATTAAAAATTCATGCAAAAGGTGTATTAGCCCATAAAATGTTGCAGCGTGGCTGTTCAGGATGAAGTAAGATCAACATTTTATTTACTGGTATTGTCGAAGAGAAGTATCTAAAGCTGATGAAAACGGTGAGTACACGTTATACCTCCCTGTCCACTGGAGAGGACGCACGGCCTATTGAACTCACTCTCGGAGATGGAGGGCCTTTAAAACCCCTCGGCGTGCGGAAGGAACAGCTCAGAAAGGGAACTGGGGCCCCATTAAAGAAAACATCCCAGAAAGTCCTAATTTTGTTTCGTTAGTCTATTTATAGGAAAGCTGGGTCTGGAAGCTCTCTGAAGCTTCCTGGAAACACTTTAGATTTTAGTCATCAAACTTCCTGAACATCGATTATTCCATCTGCAAAAAAGCCACCCCTAAATCTCAATTCAATACGCAATCATTTACGTAAGTTCGGACGCGTTCCAGAAACAAGGAGTCTGACGCCCTCCCACTGTGAGAATCGGTGTCCTGCTTTCACGCTGGCACTGCCAGCACAGCCGCCGTCCTCAGCACACCACCGAGCACACAGCAGCAGGCAGTCCCCAAACGGCCATGAAAGAACTGAATTTCAGACACTCGGTCTCACCTCATTTCTCTCATCCACATCTTTGCATTTTTCCAGAAGAGCTTTCAGAGCAGGAATGTTTTCTTCTTCTACATAATTTATCACACTCTGTGATATCAGAACTGACATCTTCACAGAGAGCTGTGGTTCCAATGCCTGTGAAAGCAGATTAGATAAAATACACATAATTGGTGAATACGAAACGAAAGTCTGACCTTAACTTGTACCGATACATCTCCCCTGGCAGGACTGGAAACAAAGCACCCCAGCTCAGCCCGTAACAGGATACGGAGCGAGCCCCCCAACCCCCCCAAACAGAGCATACTCCCCACAGCCATGCATGGGGGACGCATGGGCACTTAAGATACTTGGCATTGCAAAGGGCAAGTTAATACCTGTGCTACCGCCCAGGGAGAAATGTGGATGAGACTCCAAGGTAGCCCTGACATAGCACCTGCTCCCGAGGCAGGGGGTGGAGGCTCCGGTGTCCAGGAAGAACGCTCGCCCTGACTAAAGACGGCAGCCGAAAGAAGACCAAAAACAAAGGGGAACTGGCAAAAGTAGCCCATGACAGGAAGGGCTGGGTATAAGGTCACGTGGGAAGCTCCGGGTCAGCATTTAAAATAAGGGAGGGCAGCGAAAAGAAGGTGGTACTCCACGGGGTCTCGAGGAAGCCACACGCAGCCGTGAGAGCTTCAGCCACGCCGCCTGCAGCCAGCGGGGAGCTACGTCTGCTCCTCTGAGCAGGCCGCCGTGGGGACGGGGCGCTGGGGGGCGGGGCCACGCGGCCCGAGGGAGAGAGCAGCAAGCAGCCGTGCAGTTTGCAGTCAGGCTCCCGCCACGCAGCCCGGTGAGGTAGGAAGCAGGCGTGCGGCGGTACTGAGTGGGGGCTGGACTCAGAAAGGGGAGCCCCGTTGGGAAGCCGGCCTGGGGAAGCCAGCGGCAGAGCTGACGGAGCTGGGAATCACGGGCACCTGCCTGACCACGCACAGATTCGTGGGGGATGCCTGGGAAATGCTGACTTCTGCATCTCCGAAGGACATATGGAAACCACTCTCTGGGAGGCATGCCTCCCTGGACCCCACCACGGCGCAGTGCAACACGGCACATGCTTTCCTGGACCACTACATGGAGGCTGAGGACAACACACCCCAGATGCTGGAGGAGAGGGCTGCTGCGGGACCCTGGCGGGGCCCCCGACACCCACAGTGCACATTCCAGAGGGGGTGGAGACTTGCTGGGGAGGCCAGCCTAAGAACGGATAAGGCCACGGGGAACCTCTGGGCCTGGTGTGGCTCGCAGCCCGGTGGGGAGCAGGGGAAGTGCTGGGTCGCGTGGGAGAGCAGGGCTCTGAGCAGAGAGCTCCCGGCACCCCCGAGGCTGGAATCCTGCGAATAAAAACCTGTTTTCCTCAACAGGAATTGCTGGGTCATGCACCCAGGCACCACAGGGATGGGCCCAGGTTTGCTCAGCTACAAGCTTCCAAATGCCCACCCTGTCTTTCCGAGACACACACTCGGGTCAATCTAACTCATCCCAGCTCCCAACTCCGGACCCCTCCCTCGGGGCCCCCCCAGAGAGGAGAAGGGGGCTCCCCTGCTGCCCCTGTCGTCTGCCTCCCCCAGGAGACGGCAGCTCCAGTTCCCATCTTCCAACACCAAAACCTATGACCGGCCTCGACTTCTCACACAGGGTCACTCTCTTAGCAAATCCTCTTGGTTCTACCTGCAAAATACACGGCACAACTCACCAGCTCCATCACAGCTGTGCTGGTTCAAGCCCCCGTGACCTTCATCTAGATCCCAAGGGCTCTTCCTACCTCCATTTTGCCTGCCCCACAGTCTACCCCCGCAAGGCAAGCACAGCAACTCTGCGAAGCTGTAAGCTGGCCCAGAGCTTCTTAAACTGGAACACGCCTCGGAATCCCGCAGAGGCCTCGGAGAGCCCTGAGGGCTGGCGCTCCCCCAGGGATTCTGCCGGGGTCTGGGCGCGGCCCTGACCCTGAGTCTTTACCGAGCGCCCAGGCAAGGCTGCGGCCGCAGCTGCCGGCTGAAGACCTCCCCTGTGAGTGGCCCTGAGTCCCGTTTGGTCCTTCCTCGCTCGCAGCCCTCCGCTGGCCTCTCCGAGCACTCAAGGTCAGGCCCTCAGTGTAAGGGGCAGCGTGTCACCTCCGGCCTCACCTGCCACCGCTCCTCACCCTCCTCCCGGCTCGAACACGCCCAGCACCGCGCCGCCCTGGGGCCCCTGCACCAGCCTTTCCGTCTGCCCAGCCTCTCTCCCCCCAGACGGGCCCCTGGCCGCTCCATCACGTCCTTCAGTGGCCTTGCCAGGGGGTCTGCCCGTGCCACGTAAAACAGTCACAGCCTCACGCTCCACAGCGGTCCCCACACTGCCCCGCCCCCGAGTCCCAGCCCTGCTGGGACTCCGTGTTCTCCGTGGCACTCACCACCGTCAGAAATGCGACACACATGTGCTCACTGTCCATCTGCCACAACTAGAGTCCGAGTCCCCAAAGAGCAGGGACTTTGTTGTATTCAACTGGACAGCAAATGCAAACAAACAAAACTCACACCTTGCACCAAACACATATACTAACACAGAGTTCACCTAAATGTCACGTAGAAAAGCACAAAACTTCCAGTAGAAAACGAAGATTTATTTTAGATTGAGCAAAGATTTTTTTTTTATATAACGCTAAAAGCATGGCTTAAAAAAGACAACGGACCACTCGGAGCCCGCCCAAACTGCAAGCCACTGCTGTCTGCTGTCGGGGGAACAGCGCTGCAGGGGACTGGTGACCCCTTTCCCCTCCTCTTCTCCCAACAGGAACCAGGGTCAGCTGACCTGGCGGGCCACACCCGCCCCCCAACCGCGCTCCGCAGCGCAGAGGCTCTGCCCGTGTCTCACAGGTCCCCAGGCGCAGAGGAGTCACGTCTGCTCCCGCGGGGCAGGACTGTGTCCCCAGGGCCACCCTGCCCGCTGATTCAGACGATGGGAACGGAAACTTCTCAGCTGACAAAAGTCACCTTAAAAGCGAGAGATTCTGATCACCCAGCTGGCCCTGCAGCGCACCGAGGCTTTGGGAGGCCGGCACGAGGTGCAGGGGTTCGAGTGTGGGACGGAAGCCCGTCTCTGGGGCCAGGAGACAGAAGCCGCTGCACTGCCACCCACTACCGCGACACTCCGGAGCGGGAGGACTCCACGGACAGGAACAGCCCGCACGGCGGGGGGCGTCACAGCGGGGCAGGGAGACAAGGACCACGGGGTGGGAGAGAGCTCGGGGGGGTTCAGACTGCCGCACGTCCTGCCTGTGGTGGGAGTCGCGCAGTTATCTGGCTTGGTCGAAACTCAAAGCCGAACACTGAAAAGAATGAACTGCACGGAAACTGTACCTCAATAATGCCTTACTGTTAAATAATCATCCAGAAAGCTACGTTATTTGATCCAGTAACTTCATTCTAAGAATCAACTCTAAAAGCACAAGAAACATGAAGATTTTAATCTTATATTTTGTACTTATGACTAAAATTGTGACACAATTTTAGTCATAGTGCAAAAACCTTAAGATGGAGGATTACGTAACTTGTGATACATTCACACTGGAAAACTATACGGTCATCAAATGTCTCCAAAATACGTACTGACAGAAAAACGCCTGTGCTGTATTAACAGGGAGGAAAAAACCAGCTGAACAAGACTATATATACAGCATCTCAACTATTTAAAATATACACACTTTCAAATACCGAAATGGCATTAATGTAATTTTTAATTTTCTTTAGAACCTTTATATCCGGGTTTTCTAGGACGGGGTGCTCCCGTCACTGGAGACCAGTAAGAGACGTGTGCTGACGGTCACCAACGACATTCAACATCCGTGTGCGCCCGCGTCTCCCAGGGTCAAGTCTCATGCTCAGAGAGGCCGCCAGGGAGGAGGCCCTGCCCACCGCTCCCTGGACCCAGCATCCCCCCCCCCCCGGCCCTGGCCCCGCCCTGTCTGCCCCCCACGGCGAGCACCCCTCACGCCCACCTGCCAAAGCGTCCCTCTCTCCCCGGAGCGCGGCCGTTTCTGCTTCCCTCCAATCCACCTCCCGACGCCCAACCTCCGCCAGCCCCACTCTCAGGGCCGGGGTTTGGGGCCCGAACCATCTACCCGCTAAGGAAGACTGCCAGCAGCGCAAGAGACGACCTTAAGCTAGATTAGGCAAAACAGAACATTTATGTTAAGGAGACTGGTTTATTTCCCACAACCGCACTGCGGGAAGACGGGTGCCCCTGGACCTCGGGTGCCGGCAGAGCTCTCCTTCTCTGTGGCCCCATCCACTTGTGTTCTAGACCAGCTTCCACGCGCGCGGGAGTGTGGCTGCCAACAGCTCGGCAGCCCAAATCGAACAGTTTCTGAAACTAGAGGAAGTCTGGACTTGATCCTAGACCCGAAAGTCCCCCACAAGGCTCTGACCACCCAGACTGTGTCAGGTGCCCATGCGGAACCCATCGACCACAGTCACAGTCACAGGGCTGGGCAGGCATCACGAGGCCACGCCGTGTCCACCCCGTCTGCAGAAAAGAGGAACTGCTGTGGTCCAGGTGCCGGCCCCAAACCGGCCCCCCGCGACGCCTCTCGCCGCGCCCCCAGGACTGTCTCCCGACCTGTGCCGCCTCCGCCCGTCTTCCCCTCCCCCAGCCCCCCGTGCCACCTGGAAGCAAGACTGATGAGAAACACACTGCTCTTTAAGTCCTTCCCCAGTTCCCCAAAGACTCGCGCTGGGAGAACAGGAGATTACGGCTTCGCTACTCACAAGTCAGCCAAGGCCCCGAAGCCCTTGCAAGCCTTTCACGGCCACTGTGGAGGTCCGGCTCCACAGTCCCCTCTACGCAAGGCTGTGCTCCCTGCAGGGCAGTGAGGACTCACAGACTCAGTCCTCCACAGTGACAGCGAGGGCAGGCACCGTCACAGCCCGGCTCGGCCCCACAGCTCCAGCCTCAGCTGGCGGTCGCCCTCCCACCCTCGGCCCCACCTTGCTCCCCCACTCACAGCCACAGCGCCAGCCACAGCCAGACTAATCTCCTGGCTCGCCCGTCTGGCGCGGGCCCCCGCCACTTCCTGCTCTCCAGCCTTTGCACTCACTGCCCCTCCTCCGAGGACGCCCATCCCCCACACGTGGGCCTGGACAGCGGCTCCTCCTGCACCGCCTCTCCTGGAAGCCTGCCCAGACAGTGCTCACGCTCAGCAGCCTGGGTCCCTGCCCTGGGACACCTCCACCCCTACCCTCCGTGGACACCTAAACTTAGACTGCTCACGCCACACTCGGCTTCCCACCCCACTCACCCTCGTCCACATCAGCCCTCAGCCCCCAGCCCCCCCCTCCTGGGGCGGGACCCACCTTCCCTCTAGCCGTGTGCCTGCACCCCGGAGCCGGGGCAGAGAGAGAGAAAAGCAGCCCCTTGGTCGGGCCTTGGTGTCCTCCGGGGACACAAACCACCTCCCAGAACACCAGCACCGGAGGCGGCCACTCTGACCGTGACATCAGGGCAAAAACAAGGCCACTGGAAATCACATCTGAACACCAGACAAGAACGGGAGCCTTGTCCCACCTTCATTTCAATGACATCTCTTCAAAGAGGCCTTCCTCGCAAAACACCGTTTAGCACGGTGCTAGAAAGCACGGACCCTGAGCCGGGTTGCCTTGGGTGGGCTCCTGACTCCACTATTAACACTTTATCACGGCGGGCCCATTTCTTGGCCTCAGTGCCTCAGTGCCTCCATCTTTAAACAACTGCACAGTTCGGGTGAGAAGGGGTTAAACCCGTGCGGAGCACACGGGGACTGGAGAACTCCAGCCCCTGCCACCACCCCAGAACGCTGCCGTTTCTTCACTCCCCTTTCTGAGCGGCCTCCCCTCGGCGGGGCTACACCTGTCACAGGGTCCTTCTGGTTTAGGGTGGTTGTTTTTTTTGTTCCCATTACAACCCTTTTCCAAACTTGTCACTTAAGACACCTTCCCGTCTGGCAGCTGGCTCTCCCACGAGGACCTACGCCTGATAAGAGAAGGCACTCCTGTCTCCCGCCCCAGCTCAGCCCAGCATCCTGGCCGGCCGGCCGGCCGCGCGGGAGAACAAAGAACCCCACCTGGCCGCGGTGATTCCCGACCTGGGCTTTGCGCCGGGCGCCCTGCGGCGCTTCCAGACACCCTCGGGGGTCTGGACCCCAGCGTTGCCGACGTGCGGGCACCCACAAAATGTACCCGAACCCCGCTGCGGGTCCGGAGGGGCGTCGCCCGGCCACACCCCGCGGCCAGCCGAGCGGGACTCTCCAAGGACAAGGCCGCCTGGTGCACCAGCGCCCCCGATGGCTGGCCGAGGGGGCTGCATACACAGTTGTTACGAGGGAAAGGATCTTCATTGTTTTACACCTTCCTGTGTGTCAAAACGACGTGAAAGAAAAATGACCCAACGTGGGTGGTGACCCAGAAATCGTCCCCGTGGCAATAAATCGCACAGGCGAGAAATCGACGGCTCGCCGCTCCGCTGCCACGCGTCTGAAGGCCGGCGGCACAGGACAATGGAGCCACCGGGCCCGGGGGGACAGCAAACGGGGAAACCAAGGCCCTGGCCCGGCAGCCCCAGCACCGGCCCCGCGCGCGCCCGCCTCGGCGGAGGGCAGGGGCGGGGCACTCCGGGCGGCGGGGCGCGGGTGGCGGCTCCGCACCGGGAAAACAACTGTTTCACCCGCGCCCCGCCCCCGTTCCCGCCCCCGCCCCGAGGCGCCCGCCGGGCCGGGTGAGACGGACCTGAGGCCGTAAGTCCGAGACCTCCGGGCCCTCACGCCGGCGCGCACTCGCGGTGGGGGGGGGGGGCCCGGGCCCCCGGCCTCGCCCCCTCCCCGGCCGGCCACCCCGCGAAGCCGACCACGACACTCACCGTCTCACAGCCGGCCAAGGACGGTTCGGGCGGGAAGGGCCGGCTTTGCCGCAGGCGCTGTTAGAAACCGGGAAATGCGGACGAAGCGGCTTCCAGCACGTAGCCCCTCACACACCCGGCGGCCATTTTGCTCCGTCTCGCCGAGCTGACAGGTCACGTGGCCTCGGGTGGGCGGGGCGGCACATGGCCACGCCCCCAGAGGTCTGGCGGCACCTGTGGGCGTGGCTGGAGGGGCTGCCGGCGCCGGCGGGCGCGCGCGCGCAGGTGCGTGCAGGGCACGCGAGTCCCCAGGCCCTGCCGCCTCCTTCTAGCCTCCAAACAGGTGTTTTTGACACGTGCTGGGCAATATTCTCATCACTGTCAACGTCACTCTTCTTGTCGTGGTTGATTTATATTCCCCATTCACCATCAGAACCTAAGCTTACCGCAGAGACCTACGAAGCCAGAGTAACTTCGGAAGACGTTGCAAATGCAGGCTGGCTCACAACCCTTCCTGGGGCCCCCCAGCGAGACTCCGCGTTCTCTGAACACGCAGGGGTTCCCCACTTCTGGTCCAGAGGGCCCGCCGGCTCCTGGCTCGCTCACACCCACTCCGCAGTCCCCCGGAGTCCGGCTTCCACCCCCATCTCTGCAGAGGTGACGCCTGGCTCGCCCCACTTGCCACTTGGCCATATTTGCAGTTTCTGGAACGCTGGGCCATGCTCTTCCTCCTCCTCTGCTCTCTTTTCCAAAGTGTTCCCACACCTGGACATTCTTCCCTGCCTGCGTCCGGCTGATCCCAACAGATGAAGCCTCTTTGTCTTTTAGGGTACAGTTCACGCAGTCCCCCCTTCGGTCAGCTCCCTGGATGACCTCACGCAGGCTTGTCACTCCACCTTCTGGACTCACCTTTTACCCCTCGGCACTGGGGCGGCAGGAGGTACCCAAAAGTACATCTTAAAGCCGATTTTAGCCTGTTTGCTTGTCTTTGCCCCCACCCGCTCACTCCATGCTCATTCCACACCAATTCCGCTCACACAGTTTGAAACAGCGTCTGTCCTTGGCAAGCCTTTGAGGCAGAAGGCAATTCACCACCCCGCCGTGCACTCTGGGATGCTCGCACTGTCCCATGCATGTCGCACCAACGCCTGATGGAGCCATACTCTTTGCTGACTTCATCCACTGGGAGTTAGATGCTCTTCAATAGTTCCGAACCTCGGCGCATCAAAAACACCTGTGGACCTTTGAAAAACATCAACATGACACACTTTGGGGATTTTAAAATGTCTCCCCAGCCAATTCCAGTGAAACACCATCCTCGGACCTGGGTTTTGGTCCCACTGTGTCCAAAGCAGTGACTTCAAATATGAATGTCCCTTTTTAATGTCAAACCGTTTTTTTTCTTTATTTTATTTTAGTTATTGTTCAAGTACAGTTTTCTGTCTTTTACTCCCATCCCAGCCCATCCCCCCAGCCCTCGTCACACCATTCTCGAGGACCTACACAGGGCTAGCGGGCGGCCATTTAGGGACCACCGGTCCTGAGAGCTCCAGGGAACTGGAGTCTGTGGTTCCGTAGGGATCGGTCGTCCAGGGTGGGAACCTGTGCTCTAGACGAAGCAAACTACAGTAGCCCCCCCTTACCCAGTATTTCACTTTCCCGGGTTTCTTGCTTCAGCAAACCACTGAAATCACTTCGAGAGTCTGGCTTTTCTTCTTGTCCTGTGCACAACAGCACAGAGTTAAGGACAGAGAGGAGAGGGGGACCATGGAGCCCTGTGTTCAAGACGGGGTGGGCTGGGGAGAGAGCAGCAGGGAGAGAGCTGGGGAGGAGAGAAAGTTATAACTGACTTCATATCAGTTCATGTGGAAACGACTTCGGGGTTTTTTTTAATGTTTTTTTAAAGATTTTATTTATTTTTAGAGAGGGAAGGGAGGGAGATAGAGATAGAGAGAGAAACATCAATGTGCGGTTGCTGGGGGTCATGGCCTGCAACCCAGGCATGTGCCCTGGCTGGGAATCGAACCTGCAACACTTTGGTTCGCAGCCCACGCTCAATCCACTGAGCTATGCCAGCCAGGGATAGCTTTTTTTTTTTTTAAAGGTTTTATTTATATATTCTTAGAGAGAGGGGAAGGGAGGGAGAAAGAGAGGGAGAGAAATATCAATGTGTGGTTGCCTCCCGAATGCTCCCAGCTGGGGACCTGACCCGCAACTCAGGCATGTGCCGTGACTGGGAATGGAACCGGCGACCCTTTGGTTCGCAGGCTGGCGCTCAATCCACTGAGTCACACCAGCCAGGGCTCAACTACTCTTATTACTTTTTATTAATAATTCTATTTTATCTCTGTAGTTTTTTCCTCTAAAACCAACGTATAACCTAAAGATAACTGCTTTTCTATTTGCTTCTCATGAAGAAGTAAACCTCTTCCTCTTGACTTCCAAATTGCCTACTAAGTGGTTCTTTCTTGAATTAAACTGACTTCAACATGATTTGTGTATGCGTTTGGATATTCTGGAACCAATACGACACTTCAGATTACTATCACTTTGTAATCCGTTGCAATATCTTCTAGAATAAGTTCTCCAAGATTGTCCTTCTTGGCCCTTTGCACTTCCACTGCGTGACCTTCTCCGAGTTCCCAGTCGTTGATGGCTTTCATCAACACCATCTTTCTGACAGTCTCTCCCCTCTGGACTCCGGTCACTCACGTGCCCGACCTTTGAACCAGCCACGGCCGCCGTGTCTCGCACTCTCTCGTTTGTGTTTCCTGCCTTGTGTAGTCTCTTCATGCTCTGCTCTGGGTATGTGGATATACGCTTTGAAGAGGAGGAGATTCGTTGCATGTGGAGGAAGCTGAAAGGACTTCTTAGTCAAGATAAGATTTGAGCTGGTTTTCCCTTACAGGTTGTCTAGCACTTTCTGTGGCCAGTATTCTACTTGAGCAGGGAGGTGAGTGACGTACAGTCAAAACATGACGAATGCAACTGTCTAACCATAACATGGGAGGGAGAGGGGCGGAAGAGAGAAGCAGATAACACTAGCCGAATACCAGTGTATCGGACATCTGGGAACGAGGCCTGAAGCAACAGCAACCAGCACACAGCTTGGGTGACCCCAGCACGCGGAGCCCGCTGCAGCCCCACCGGGAGAGGCTGCTCGTGGGAAAACACGGGGGGCGCTGCAGGACGTCCCGGCAGAGGCTCTCAACGGTGGGATCAGCTTCCATTCGCTCATTCAGTCATTTCACCTGCTGCCGTCAAGGAGCCCTCACCACAGGCCAAGCTCCTCTCGGTGGGGAAGGAGCCTCTCTGAGACTCGCTCACTGCACCAACATGACTGAATGCCTACTACGCGCTCAGCACTCCTCCAGGCGGCAGTGTGAGGACAGACACAGGGGGGAGGGCGAGTCCTTGCCGTCGTAACTCACACCCCAAAGTGGGGGGCGGGCAGACAACCACCGGACCAGGGACAGGCTGGGAGGCCGCAGGTGGTCCCACCTGCCGTGGAAAAGGAGCACGTGGCAAAGGCCGAGGGGCCGAGCAGGAGGTGGTGCACCAGGAGGAAAGGTTCTTTCAGAGGCGGCAGCGGGGTCAAAGTCCCAGGGTGGTGACAAGCTGGGCAGGTTCAGAGAACAAGAGGAGGTCCGGGGGTGGGGCGGCGAGGTCAGGGGCGAGGGGAGGAGTGGAGGGGCCCAGAGGCTAGGCCGCAGGGCAGGGCGTTTCGGACCCCAAGGAAGACAGTGTTGCCGCAGGGAAGAGGGGAGCCCCCGGAGACTGAGAGAGAGCAGGGCCCCGCTGCCTGTCTGGGAGGCCGGGGTGGAAGCTGGGACGTTTCTTTGCAATGCTACAAGCAAGGCCAGGGTGGTCCAGGCAGGGGTGACAGACGCACAGATGGAAAGTCGGGTTCTGGGTGCATTTGGGAGCAGGTGCCCAGGGCCGGAGGCAGCTGAGAAGTGAGGACCAGGCAGGTGTGTCCCCGCCAGGCCCAGAAGCTCGTCCCTGCCACACTCTTTCCGTCACAGACGTGAGACGTTGCAAGATCTACACCTGGTTGAAACGGAAGCGCTCTCCCGTGAAAATACACCCAGGAGAAAAAACACCGGGCCCATCCTGTGGGGAGATGTTCCCCATGACCCCTGCCCAGCCGTCCTCCGAGCCGCCAGGTCCTGAGAAGCAGCGGGGAAGGTCTGAGCATCGTCCCCGCCAACGTGACACATGACCGCATGGGGAGCGCCCTACCCAGGACCCTGGGGCGGAAGAGGGCACTGGGGAACACCAAGGCAAGGAGGTCTGAGTGCAGTGGGGGCTGTCGGTAACAACGTGGGCCCACATCGGTGCGTTAGTCTCCACGGAAGTGCCACACATGGGATATTAACGGTTGGGGAGCGCTGGGCTAGCTTCCCGTTTCCTGTCAATCCAGAACTGGAAGAAGGCGATACATATACCTAATGTTTCAGCAGTTTCCGATGCGCCATACTTCCCCCTCTCTCATCAGAGTCCCTCTGCTCTCAGGACAAGACACCTGGGCCCCCGCACAGCAAGGGGCCTCCGCTGGCGAGGGACGGGGAAGGCCGTGAGCCCAGGTCGCTGGCGAGGACGGCGGGGTCATGGCCGTGAGGGAGTCTGCAGACCAGAGGGCGTGAAGTGCGGAGCAGGAGCTGGCTGAGAAGGGACACTGCCCGGGGTGAGAGATCAGCAGTGATGGTGACCAGGTCCGAAGCGTCTACCCAGGCGCCCTGAGCGGAACAGGGGACACGGCCATCGGGGGCCAGCAGGCCAGGGGCCTGAGAGGCCGGGAGCTGTCAGGTTCTCCTGCAGGGGTCTCAGAATCATCGCGGGCCGCGGGCTAGACGGGAGCAGGGACCGGGTCCCGGTCTTTTCCAGCAGGGAGCGACCCGGGAAGCTCCAGGGCAGCAGCAGCGAGGAGGGACGGCAGGAGCTTCTCGGCTCGGGTGTTTCAGGGAGGAAGCGGGCACGACTGTCCTCAGGTGACAGGAGGGACAGAGGGCACGGACCTCCCCTCCAGGCCCCAGCGGAGAGAGGGCTGCCAGGGAACCAGTCTCAGGAGACGCCTGGGTTTTCGTTGGAGCCAAAGGGGAAGGGAGCCCCAGAGGCACTTGGGGGCTCTTTTCCTCACAATGCACCCCGCATTCCCAGGACAGGGCGGG